ACTTAAGATTACAGTTTATCTGAATCTAATAACCACCTATCAGCGGCTTCACCACTCTGTCTTTTTCAATATCTCTTTCCCCTTGAATGGTTTGAGTCTCGACTCACTCACAGAGGGGGTTGCCGGCGGAATGGAACAATCACAGAGGAAATAAAGAGATGCTTACAAAGGCGAGGCCCATGCGGATGATACGATGGCTTTGGATTCTGATCCCCAAATCCAGGGGGAAATCCAATCGGGGGGATCTCCCCTGAAGTGAAGCTCTGTTGTGGCTCAGTCTGAACCCGAGCTTTCTGAGCCTGAGTTTCCTCAAGACGAGGAGGACGATGGGTTACAGATTTCTGAACATGTCCCTGTTGTTCATGCAGACAGTATTGATACGGAAGACGAGGTGGCGTTTCTGTTTCCTAGAGAAAGGAATGTTGTTTTAGAAGATGGTCATGATTTGAGTGCTAACTGGGGCCCCTTACAGAGAGAGGTCAACCCTCCTGTTTAAGGAACTCCACTGGCTGCCGTTTATATTCCGAGCCCAATTTAAGGTGCAGGTACTTTCCTACAAAGCCCTGAACGGTTAGGACCAGCCTACCTGCGTGACCGCATTTCTATCTACAAACCCACGCGTTCTCTTCGGTCATCTGGAGAGGCCCTGCTCGTGATCCCACCGGCGTCGCAAGCGTGCTTGGTGGGGACGCGGGACAGGGCCTTTTCTGTGGTGGCCCCCCAACTCTGGAACACCCTCCCCAAAGACCTTAGACAGGCCCCTTCGTTGGCTATCTTCAGAAAGAACTTGAAGACCTGGCTTTTCCGATGCGCCTTCCCAGATTAGGAAATCTCTACTACTGAGTCCCACAAGCACTTTACCAGAACCAATGATTGCTGCACACCGCACATCGCACTTGCCCTAGAAACCCTTTATACACCTCCTGTCGAATCAGCACTTTTAATCCTTGTACCCACCTTTTGGCCCGGCCCAGTTTTATTGTGTTTTAATGTACTGTGCCTGTTGTTTACTTTGCTTATTTTGTTTTAATTGTTTGATTTGCTTGATTGTATTGTTATGTTGTGTTGTTGAGGCCTCGGCCTGTGTAAGCCGCATCGAATCCTCTGGGAGATGCTAGCGGGGTACAAATAAAGTTTAATAATAATAATAATAATAATAATAATAATAATAATAACTTCACAGCTACAGGTGGAGGAGTCAACCACTCCATCTGTGAGCTCAGTGCCTGTCGATTCCCAGGCTGGCCAGCCCCAGGATAATGAGTTATTCGGCCTTGAAGGTGATGGAGATCTGGTTAGGGAGGACCGTTTGCAATTAAGGGTACGCCAAATTGCTCAGCTTGCTACCAAACGGGAAGGTCGAGGTCAACGTAATGCTTTCATGCTAGGAAAACATATTTAACGATCTGATTGAAGTCAATCCTTTGTCAGTGCAACTTTGCTTACACCCTGTTAACTTCTCTGGAATTGCCTTGGCTTTTGGGGAACGCTTTTGGCTCTTGGGGACTTTGGTTTTGATCCTGGTTTCTGGGGACTTTGCATGCTGCCATGGATTCTTGTTTGACCAATGCTTGTGGATGATACTTCATGTTATTTTGCCTTTGGACCTTGGAAACTGCCTAATGTTTGTTTGTGGAATTAACATAACTCAAAAATCACTGTACGAATTGACACCAAATTTGGACACAAGACACCTCTCAGGCCAACAAGTGACAATCACTCATAAAAACACTGGAAAACACAGTGGAAGAGACTTAAAAAGCCAAAAAAA